TTTTAATTTATTAAATATTTTATCGTTAAAAAATGGTTATTTTAGATGGGAATGAAGAGAATTTGGGTTCACGAAGTGCTTCGAGTATATGGAGACCGTCTAGTCGACGAAAACGACGCTAATTGGCTCGTAGGGCAAATTGGAAAGACCCTGAAAGAGAGAATGGACGATGACATAAACGTCCTCTTCAGAGACTTTACGTCCTTCCCCCACGAAGAAGTAATTTGGAAAAAATCTATTCCGACCCCTGAATATATTTTTCATATCGACAAACGGAACATATTAAAATTCTCATCGTAATTTGATGTAGGTAACAGAAACTCATTTGAGAAATCTCGTATATTGCGACTTTCAATATCCCTTGGAGGACAAAAAACTTTACACAGAAGTTGCTAATTTGGATGATCTGAGCGAAGTAGTTCAAGAATATCTCGGAGAATTCAACTCGATGTCAAAAAAGCCGATGAATCTCGTTTTGTTCAGGTAAATATTGCGGTGTGAGGGGAATCCCCTCCGAATAAAGTCTCTAAAAAAATAATAGAAGGAAAAGAAGAGAGAAAAAAAAACGATTTATTACCTTCTCTATTATTTATTTATTACTCTTTTATTGCACATACTTTTTTTCCAATAAATTCCAATTTATAGAAATCCTCAATTTATTTCCTTCTATCACTTGAGTGGCATTAAAATACGTGTGTGTGATTGTATTGAATATATGTCCTTAAGATTTGCAGTGGAACACCTCTCAAAGATCTGTCGAATATTGATGCAGCCACGTAGCCACGCCCTGCTGGTTGGCGTAGGTGGTTCCGGGAGGCAGTCCTTGACCCGACTTGCATCGCACATCTCGGATTACGAGATTTTTCAGGTCGAAATATCACGTCAATATGGAGTGCACGAGTGGCACGAGGATCTGAAGACGATTCTAAGGAAAACAGCGTCAAGTGATCTCCACACGACATTTTTATTTACAGACTCGCAGATTAAAGAGGAGTCATTCCTCGAGGACATCAGTAATCTGATGAACTCTGGGGAAGTTCCCAATCTCTTTGCGACGGATGAGAAGATGGAAATCTGTGAAAAGATGAGACAGATGGATCGACAGAGGGATAAGTCTTTGCAGACTGATGGAAGTCCTGTTGCCCTTTTTAATTATTTCGTTCAAGTTGTTAGGGAGCAATTGCACGTTGTTGTTACGATGTCACCGATTGGTGATGGCTTTCGAACGAGGATTAGGAAATTTCCAGCTCTTGTCAACTGCTGTACGATTGATTGGCTCCAGCCTTGGCCTGAGGACGCCCTTCTGGCTGTTGCAACGAAGTTCCTGGGGGAAATCAAATTGCCGGAGGATGAACGAACTGCTTGTATAGAAATGTGCCAGTATTTTCATACTTCTACGCAAGATTTATCGAAAGAGTTTCTGCTGAGAGCAAGACGGTGATTATTTGGTTTATTGACTTTTGAGTTTATTTTTTCTATCAATTCCATTTTTCTGTCGTACTAGTCGGAGAAATAATCTGATAATTAATTTTCGAATTGTTATTTGTTGTTGAAAAATTGTACAGGCATAATTATGTGACTCCGACGTCTTATTTGGAGTTGATAAATACATTTAAAGATCTTCTCTCGAAGAAACGTTCAGAGGTGCTCGAGGGTAAGCGCAGGTATGAGACAGGGCTCTCGAAATTGGACTCAACTCACAAGCAAGTGGAGAAAATGCAGAGAATTCTCGTGGCCCTTCAGCCAAAATTGGTGGAAGCTGCGAAAGACGTCGAGAGGATGCTCGCTAGTATTGAGAAGGAGAGTGAGGATGTGGCAGTGATTGAACGGGTTGTCAAGGCTGACGAGGAAGCTGCCATGACCGTAGCGGCAGCAGCAGAAGAAATTCGTGTAGAATGTAATGCAGACTTGGAGTTGGTGATGCCAATTCTCAACATGGCTAACGCAGCTCTCAATACCCTGACCCCTCAGGACATGCAAATCGTCAAGACCATGAAATCTCCGCCCGCTGGAGTCAAACTCGTGATGGAAGCAGTCTGCATTCTAAAAGATGTCAAGCCAGAAAAAATACAGGGTGAAGGGGGTAAAATGGTGGATGACTACTGGAAACCCTCCCTCCGCATCCTCGGAGATATGAAATTCCTGGAGTCACTCCTGGCCTTCGACAAAGACAACATCCCTGAGAGAATTATCACGAAAATTCGCACTACCATTCTCACAAATCCTAATTTCGATCCAGATAAAATTCGAAATGCATCGACTGCCTGTGAGGGCCTGTGCAAATGGGTCTTCGCTCTCTCTGAGTATGATAAAGTGGCCAAGGTTGTTGCACCCAAGAAAATTGCACTGGCAAAAGCTGAGGGAGAGTACAATGACGCAATGCAAGCCTTGGAGATCAAGCGGGGACAGCTCAAAGAGGTTCAGCAGAAGTTGGAGCGACTCATGGATCTTCTCCAGCAGAGGAAGGATGAGTATCAGGCGATGACTGATGAGGTGCAGGAGTGCGAGCAAAAATTGAGAAGAGCTGAGGAATTGATAGGTGGCCTCGGGGGAGAGTACAACAGATGGAGTGAAACAGCGAAAATTCTCGGCAAATTATACTTCAAACTCACAGGTAATTATTATCAATTCAATAAAATTAATTGCACTAATTAATATATATGCACCACCAAAAAAAAATTTTTAATAAAAAATTATCATAATCAGTGTATAAGTTCCATCACTTTTTTTTTCTGGAGTGAATTCAATAATTCAACTCTTGAATGAGTGATGAAGAAGTGGATTTATTATGCAATCATTAATAAATACAACGGAAATTGCAATTAATTCAATTCTATACTCGCGGATTTGAATAATGAGTATTCGTTACTAGTCTGCAAATTAAACATTTGCTCTCTGTTGGAGATTTATTTTTTTCATGTCCGATAATTAACATTTTGGACTGATTATATTCATTATGTTTTTTATCAAAGAACGGATGTAACTAATTAGCAGAATGAAATACAGTAGACTCGCGTTGTAGTCTCTATTATTTTATTCTATATTTTGTATAGAATTAGTTCATTCAGAGTTTAAAAAATATCTCCATGGAAACCCGTTATAGAATGTGGTAGCGGTGGTATACCTGTCACAGGAACAGGAAATTGCTCCGGATCCATTCGGAAGTTACCAATAAAACTACCAATAAAATTCGCGGAGATAAAAAAAAACGAAAAGACTAGTAACATAAAAAGTAATGGGCACGTGGTTTCTGTTCGGTAGGGAGGCTGCAGCCCCTTCTTTCACGTTATGTCACACCGTGAAAATAATATGTCCATCGGTTTCTGCGAATTCTTTTCATCTCTGACATTATAACATATGTTGAAAATTGTTGTATCAATTACCGAAGCCTCAGACGTTTTTCTAATGAAAGAAAAAAAAATTTGAAAGCACCAGAGAAATTATTATAACAATTAGACGATTCCTTTTAGAATGGTTATCTGATATGTTCCTGGATAGGTGACATCCTCATCGGCTCGGGTATTGTCGCCTACCTGGGAGTTTTTACGATGCAGTATCGACAGTCTCAGGTGGAAAACTGGGTGAGACTCTGTACAGAGCTCAATGTTTATTGCACTCAAGACTTTTTACTGAGTCAAGTCCTCGGAGATCCTGTATCAATCCGATCCTGGAATATTTTTGGACTTCCCACTGATCTGTTCTCAGTGGACAATGGAATAATCGTATTCAAGTCACGGCGATGGCCTCTGATGATCGATCCTCAAGGACAAGCGAACAAGTGGGTGAAGAATATGGAAAAAGACACTGGAATACATGTGATCAGGCTCAATCAGAGTGATTATACGAGAGTCCTTGAAAATGCTATTCAATTTGGTCAGCCTGTTTTAATGGAGAACGTTGGAGAGGAGTTGGATGCTGTGCTGGAGCCTCTGCTCCTGAAGCAGACGTTCAAGACTGCTGGATCATTATGCATTAAACTCGGGGATTCTGTTGTCGAGTGGAATGATAAATTTCGATTCTATATCACAACGAAATTGAGGAATCCCCATTATCTCCCGGAAATAGCTGTGAAAGTGACACTTTTGAATTTTATGATCACTCCTGTTGGCCTGGAGGATCAACTCCTGGGAATTGTTGTTGCTAAAGAGCGACCTGATTTGGAGAGTGAAAAAAATCAGTTGATCGTGCAGGGAGCTGCTAATAAAAAGTTAGACTCAAAATTATTACATTGTGAAATTTTTTATAATCGAGTCAGACTCACGATTCTACCAATATTATTAATCTTTAATTTATTGATTTGCAAGAGAGGAAGTGAAAAATTGTTTTAAATAATCTTTCAGAATGCTCAAAGAAATAGAGGATAAAATTCTTGAAGTGCTTTCTGGGTCAGAGGAGAACATACTGGAGGATCAGACAGCCATTGCTATTCTAAGCTCATCAAAAGTATTAGCTAATGAAATACAGGCGAAACAAGCTGTGGCAGAGGTGACAGAAAAGTCGATTGATGCTGCTCGACTCCAGTACACATCGATTGCTGTTCATAGCACCGTTCTATTTTTCTCCATTGGTAAAATTCAATTAATGATTTTATCGTTATTTTTCCACTCTACCACGTCAATTGAACGAATTCCAATTTGTTTCACATCAATTTTTCATCCTCTCCTTCTTCTTACAGAGGGAAAAACTATGATTTATTGGAATTCCTATTCTTTACTTTCTTTTTTTCTCATTCAAGTGATTTTTCTTGTAGCTGTCCTGGCGAATATCGATCCAATGTATCAATACTCCCTCGCCTGGTTCATGAATCTCTTTAAAGTGACAATCGACAATACACCACCTGTGGAAGACATTAGTCAACGTCTTCGGGACCTCACGAAAGCGTTTACGCATTCCCTTTACGTCAATATCTGTCGATCGCTATTCGAGAAGGATAAGCTTTTGTTCTCGTTGATACTTGCTATTAATTTACTGAATAAAAGGGGCGAGGTTTCGATGGCACAGTGGATGTTTCTGCTGACTGGTGGCGTTGGACTGGATAATCCTGATAGAAATCCCACTGAATGGCTCCCCTCCAAATCCTGGGATGAGCTTTGCAGGCTTGATGATGTTCCTGGATTTACCGTAATTATTTTATTTTATGCCTCTGTATTTTTTGTAATTGTGCTCTGGATCAAAAAATGTCTATCAATTTTTTTAATAAAAAATTATTCTTCGGGGTCTAAATAAATTATTAAATAAATACGACTCTGAATGAACGATTCTATATGTTTATTAGGTATTGTATTTATCGAATACGAATCTTAAATGAATATTAATTAACACTTCCTCTTAATATTCCAGGGTTTAAAATTAAAATTTATAGAAAATATTGGGAAGTGGAAGGAAATATTTGACCACCGAGAGCCTCAATCTCAGAAATTTCCACAGCCATTCGATAAAATTACTCTCTTCGAAAAAATGTTGATTCTTCGGTGTCTCAGACCCGACAAAGTGGTGCCATCAGTTCAGCTCTTCGTAGAAGGTAAATTAATTGGACTCAATAATCTCACGAGTGGAGAAGACATTCCATCAATTTGACAATAGACTTTCGTCTGATCAGGAGTCTAATTGGTCGACTCAATTGCTTTAATTGTATGGCATAGATCAACTTGGGAGGAAATTCGTGGAATCTCCGCCGTTTGACTTGGGATCGTCCTATGCAGATTCCTTCTGCTGCATTCCCCTCATCTTCGTTTTGACACCTGGGGCAGATCCCACGGCAGTTCTCCTCAAATTCGCTGATGATCAGGGCTTCGGTACATCGAGACTATTTTCTTTATCACTGGGTCAAGGTCAGGGCCCAATAGCTGTTAGTTTGATTGACGAGGGCTTGAAGAATGGAACTTGGGTTGTGCTCCAAAACTGTCACTTAGCCAAGAGTTGGATGCCGACCCTGGAAAAGGTGTCACTAATTAATTATCGATTATTATCATCCAGTGGGTAGTAATTGGAATCGATAAATTATTTGAATTGATGTTTCGTTGGGGTTTACCACAGATTTGCGAGAGCTTCACACCAGAATCTGTACATCCCGACTTCAGGCTGTGGCTCACCAGTTATCCCGCTGAACATTTTCCCATTAGTGTCCTACAAAATGGTGTCAAGATGACTAATGAACCGCCCAAAGGACTCAGATCAAATATTACGAGATCGTTTCTTCAGGTCTGTTTGTACACTGAAAATAGTCTTCTTGCGTTTTTCTGTTAACGAGATATTTTCAGTGGAGAAAGTTCAAGAGCTATTCCTTCAATATTTCCGATTATTCTAGGATCCAATTTGTGACCCTGATTTCTTCGAGACATCCAAGCAGAAGAGTTCATTCAAGAAATTATTATTCTCATTGTGTTTCTTCCATGCTATTGTTCAGGAGAGAAGGAAATTCGGACCGATGGGATGGAACAATCCATACGAGTTCAATGAAACGGATCTTCGTATCAGTGTACTTCAGCTCAAGATTTTTCTGGATCAATACGACGACGTGCAATACGAAGCATTAAAATATCTCACAGGTATTCCAATTGAAAATTTGAAATTCAGTGTTATAAACGGAAGAGAGTAATGAATATATTCAAAAGAAAAATTGGAATTCATCCCTTTATTTCAAGTTCGAGTGTAGAATGAGAATTTCTTTCGGATTCTCATCATCACTTTTCTCACATAACTTCTGACTTGATTTTTTATTCAATCCACTATTGCAGCGACCCGCCGTTAAGTTAATTAAAGACCATGAGTATGAAGAGAAAAAATAGTGAAACATCGGTAGTACATGCTCCATGTGCACCGAGTACTAAATTTTATTTGTTTGCACTCAGGCGAATGTAATTACGGTGGTCGAGTGACTGACGAGTGGGATCGTCGTACTCTCAATACAATTCTCGAGGTATTCTACTGCGAGGAAGCAGTGGAAGAGCGATCATACCGTTTCGATTCTTCGGGTCAATACTACATCCCATGGGTCTCAGAACACTCTGAATTCCTCGATTACGTGAGAGACCTACCAATGATAACAGGACCAAGTGTCTTCGGCATGAATGACAATGCTGATATAATCAAAGACCAGCAGGAAACCGAGATCATGATAGCCTCCATTTTATTAACCCAAGTAAATGAATTCTCATCTTCTTTTTTACCACAACAGCTATAAACATAAAACTTCTTTGTTACAAACTGTCAGGAACCTGAGGTAACCCTATTCTTGTTTATAACATACTTTTTATGACCGTACTATCGTAAATTATTGTATATAAACTGAAACCATTTTCATGTACAGCTTCCTAAGAATTTTTGGAAGAAGGTAATGTATTTTTAAATTACTCCCGCCATTCATGCACATTCCAGTTTTTTTAGAATTACGAAACGTCATAGCTTGAATAAAAAAAATTCGTTCGGTCAATTTCTTCTACTTCAGTAAGAAATTAATCGAGGAAAAAGAATATCCCGAGAGGATGACTGGATTCGATAAAGCTTCGGGAGGAAGAGGCTTATAGAAATACATCCGAAGACTAGAATTTTTTATTTACCAACTCTGCTATTTCAATCCTTTCTCGGAATTCATTGCATCTCGAAATATTTACAAAACAATCTGTCGGGGATTCCCTCGTTCGTTATCTTACTAAATAATTCGTTCGTGTAATTAATCGTGTAGAGACGAGAGTAAAAATTCCTCTTTCGCCGATTGAAATGAATTTCGACTTTTCAAACCCATACTATCCCGTTCCTAAAAACTTTTATCATTAAATCATCCAGATAATTCGATGAAAATCATTGATACTAAATTTTGTGTCCATCCCGTGCACTCGAAATTTTGCTGGAAAATTGGATAATCAATTTATTGAGCGAACAATTTTAACTCATTACATCTGTCAAGAGTATTTCGCATGGAAAAAAATTTTTAATGGAGTAATTACTCTCGAAAAAGGATTCCTTTCAAAATTTTTATAAAAATGATATGGTCCTCTTTAGGACACAGCATCGGAAGCTGCAGAAGGTGGAAAAACCCCTGACGAAATAGTCTTCACAGTGTCTGACGATATCCTGTCAAAACTCCCCGCTGATTTCGATTTAGTCGACGCCTTAGAGAAATACCCAACATCGTACAATCAGAGCATGAACACAGTACTTGTGCAGGAAATGGGTCGGTTCAATAAGCTGCTTCAAACGATCAGAAACAGCCTGAGGGGTGTGCAGAAGGCGATCAAAGGTAGTACTAATTTTTCCTCCCTCTCCCTTCCACTCGTTCTCATTCACTATTTATCTCGCCCTTTGACTCAATTTCTAGGACTCACGATAATGAATTCAGAGCTCGAGGAAGTATTTACATCAATAATAACTGGAAAAATACCAAACTCATGGAAACGAAACTCGTATCCATCCCTCAAGCCTCTGGGCAGTTACATTCAGGATTTTATTCGTCGTTTGATGTTTTTACAGGTACAAGAAATATCTGGAGACCTAGATCGATTAATTACGAGTTAATGGGAAAATTGAGTGATTATTTGTTGATTTTTCAGGAATGGTTTTTAAATGGCCCGCCTAATACTTTCTGGCTGTCTGGATTTTTTTTCACTCAGGCTTTTCTTACTGGTGCTAGGCAGAATTATGCCAGAAAATATTCAATACCCATTGATCTTCTCGTGTATGATTTTCTTCCTCTTGAGAAAACTGAATTTGAGATGCCACCGGAGGATGGAATCTACGTTTATGGACTCTTTCTTGATGGTGCTAGGTTTGATAGACGAGTTATGATGCTTGAAGAGGCCCTCCCGAAGGTTCTCTATGATACTGTTCCATATGTGAGTACCAATTGTTCAACATTATTTTATTCAACAATAAAAAAAAGGGAATAATGGGAGGACTGATAAAGAAAAATTAACGAGCTCATGAAATTTTATTTGTTACGATCTACATAAAAAATAATTCAATAAAATTCATCAGCTTGGCGTCAGTTGACGAGAGATGCAGATTAAATTTATGTGACGCTTTGAAAAAAATTGAAACAGTTCCGTGAAAATGGTTTTAATCATTTGATTTTGGTGGGGTTGTAATATTTCCTTTTAGCTCTGGCTTGTTCCAATGAAGAAAGAGGAAATAAAAGAGCGAGCGACGTACACGTGCCCTGTGTACAAAACTAGTGAACGTCGCGGTGTATTATCGACCACCGGGCACTCGACAAATTTTGTGATTGCCATGTGGCTGCCAACAGAAAAACCACCGAATCACTGGATAATGAGGGGAGTTGCAATGCTCTGTCAACTATCCCAGTGAAAAAATAGAATGATTCATTAATTAGCGAGCAGTGTAAATTCCACTAATTTATTTCAAAAATACAGAGCACTAATCCACGAGGAATTACCGAGACTAGAAAATTTATTACAAAATCGCAAGAATATAAAAACATGTAGAGATTGATATTGACTTGATAAAAAATTTCCAGGATCACCAGACACCACTCAATTTTTAAATTCAAGTAATTTTTCAACAATCAACCAGAATTGTTTTTCTAATTCATTATTAAATAATGATAAAATGGAAAAAAATATTAGAAAACTCAAGAAGGTGTGCGACTTCCTCAAAAAGAGGACAGAACATCTTGAATTCAAATAAAATATAAAATATAGTGTATTGTAATTTTTTTTGTGAGTTATTTTCGATATTTTACATTTCATCGACAATGGAAAAATATGGGAATAAGTATTTCGAATGAAGTGATTGAATTATGTCTCCGGATCGAGAAAATCCGGCTTTTTCCATCCCCTTTAAATGGGTGGCTGCAGCTGACGCAGATGTCAGCGTTGGAGATCGAAGTATCCGGAGGTATAGGGCGTAGGGAGTTGTCGAGTTATACGCGGATTCATCGGCTGGCATCCGGGACAGAATGGATAGACGAGAGAGAAAATGGAGGGTTGAAATCAAAAGAGAGAGGGAGTGAGTGGGTGGGAGGGAGGGGGGGGCATTTGAGTGGGCGGGGTTGGGGGTGGTAGCGGCACCCTGTCTACTCGGACCGAGATCGCCGGAGGCTCGTTGCCTAGCAACCGCGTATTGATCTCACCCTGTGTTCGCATCTCGGGTGGTTTCAACCACCCACCCCATCCCCCTCCTCTCACTCGCCAAACCAAGTTTTCTTCGTTTCTCTTATTTTTTTTATCTACCACTGCAAATTCACCTATTTCTCATCCGTCTTCCAACTTGAATGGCTCACACACTTTTCATATTGTGCGTTTTTATTTTACAATTGGTTTTTTTCTCCGGAATTTTCAAGGATGGGCGTGGCTTGCTAAAATAATCAGTCATTTGCGCGAATTAGGGGGAAGTGCTCAATTTTTTATGATTTTTATGAGTGGAAAATGGAGGAAAGAATTGGGCGCGGAGGAAAAGCGAGAGGTGAATTTTTTCTCGTTGTCTGTCAATTTTATTTAAACAATCCGATGAGTTCAGCAATTTTTTTATAAACAAAAAAGAAACAATGAATTAAGTCACCGAACTCTAGGGTATTTTCAGATTGGTAGAAAGAGGAGATTATAATAATTGCAATATTAATAATAATAATCCCTGAATGCTGAATTTTTCCCTATTTTTCACGGATAAAAATGATTAAAAAAATTCTACCCATTTTTTTCACAAATAAAAATAATGAGAAGTCCTGCTGAAATGATTCATCAAATAAAAAATCGTATTATAACCGGTAATTTATTTACCATTTGTATTAATTACTAAAGTCTTTGTCGAGTCTTCAGTGAGAAATTGACGGCTATGGGAATAATATTTGATTCTGATGGATCAAACTGCCAGACAAATCCCTGAAAATAAACGATGTTATTCCGAGCCATGGACAATTGGAAACTGAATAATGGATGCTGTCTCAGAAACTCGAGTTATCGAGACGGCTTTAGCATTCGAATAGATAAATACAGAGTTTAAATGAGAGAGAACTTGAAGAGAGATGGAAATAGTTCATACGGGGTTGCTGGGCAACGCGTCCACCCTTGAAGTCTCCACCGATTTTAAACTCCTACCCCAGCATCCTCTCCTCACCCTTTCTCTCATCTTCGTGTCCCCGTGAAACGGGGGTCGATACAAGCCTTCCTTTATCGGCTACATTTGCCCGGGAATTCCCCAATTCTCGTTCTGGGAATCACCACTGCAATTCAAATCCAACGCTATTTATTCGACTAAAAATACCTCTCCAATTACCCCTGCCCAGCCCCTGACCCTCAATTTATTCAACATCATCATTACCTTGAGATTCAACCCCTAAAGGTCTCGAAACTTCAATATCTCATCTCTCTCTAATAAATCCGAGACACATCGTGCTCTTCAAACCCTAGAAATCAGGAAAAAGCTTCCCCCTTAAAAAATAAATTATCAAAAAACAATCCGCGATGCAACAAATTAAAAAACATCTCCAACTCATCAATCCTCCGGATTATATCAAACGCAGAGGAATCGAATTTGGAATTAACACGAAAAATGTCTCGACCCGCAGTTCGAGCATTTTTAAAATATTCAAATTAAATCGTTTGCTCCAAATTTTCATGATAATTCAAACAGAAATCACTGGACTAATTACCAATTACTCATGCCACACGACAAAACAATAACTGAGATCAACATAAGAAATGGGATTATAATAAATTATCAGAATTCTCTCATTACCGAAATAATCCACCGAGGGCCATTCACTTCACAATAAAATTGATGGAACACACAATAGAAAGGGGAAAAATAATTAATCTGAACAAGATGCAAACAATAACGCAGAAAGGTTCAATGCCCTCAATTGAAAAGCTCCATCCATGCAAGACACCCCCCTAAATAACTAAAAAGCCCCATGCAACCCCCGAAATAACGAATTCACTCTTCAGTATCATTATCCTCGATCCATCGAATATCTCACTGGTGCATTCTATTCCGTTGATCATGGTCCGCTCTTAGCATTCACCGCGTGCCTTATGAATTTTAAATTGTTGGCACATGGAAGCCCGCTGTGAACGCAAGGAGCGCAGACTCACGTATTAATTCTCATTACACCCCCTCCAATTAAATTAATTCCAAAGTATCTAATCCTCACTCAAGTCACCAACAACAAATAATCAATAGCCATGAAGATATCACCGATAACACGAATCCACAATCAGCTGATCAATACCACCAATAGATAAATCAACAAGGAATCAACTGAAAAATACAAAAAAATTTTGATGAAGCAGATTGAAAATGAAAATAAAAATAAAAATGATGGTTGATATAGAAATGTTAATTTCTATGAGGTTTGTTGTAATTTATTTTGGTTGTTATTTACTTGAAATGATAATTTTTATGACCAAGTTGAAGATACGATGATCTGATCGAGACTGAATGGCCCTGGGAGCTGGGGGGACGCCTCGTTGGTTTTTAAATCTAATGAGAGTGGGGTGAGGAGTGAAAAGGGGAAGGGGATGAGAGTGAGGAGGGGGTAGTAATGGGGTGAGAGGGTGAGAGGATGAGGGGGCGAGGGGATGAGGGGATGAGAGATGAAAGGTGATGGGGGAGTCCGAGGGATGGACGGGAATCGACACGATACAATGGGCAAAACGCCGAACGTCATGCTCGTGCCCAAATGCTACTGGGCATTTGAGAGTCGAATGAAAAAAGGGGGTCTTTCACCCCTGAAAATCGTAACTTATTGCTTATTTCGGTATGGGGCTTTTGGTATGGGGCTTTCGGTATGGGGCTTTCGGTGGTGGGGTTTATATTCCCTTTGGTTTCGATCTCTCTGGGGCGATCCGGAGGTGGACGGTGATACCCTGGGGAGCAGCTGACGCCGGGGAGAGCGCCCTTATACATTCACCCCATTGTTGTCCAAAAGACATTTCGCATAATCGAGAATTCATCTCCCCTTTTATCGATGATCAACGTCGGGAGAGATTTTTCCAATTTTTTTTTCTTTTTTTCCTTTTCGATTTTGAGGTGATTAATCGAGGCGGCAATTTTTTGATTGTTTAAATAATATGGAAAATTTGTAATCGCGGAAAATTCGGGGGGTGGAAAATTAAGGGAGAGGATAGACGTGGATTTTTTAGAGGGTGGGAGTTCAGGGATTGATTTTGGATATTGGAAAATTGAGGGGAAGTTTTATGATTCAATAAATTTAGAAAAATTCTATTTTGTTGAGGAAATTGTTTTGACGTTTCCGCGGAGTTTTATCAATCAGAATTTTACTGCTGACACTAATCCGCACACCAATTTCGGGAGATATCACTAAAGTCCCGTTATAATTATTAAAAAAATTGAATTGTCCAATGAAACTGCAACCACTTGAAAATATTCAGAGGAAAAAACGATATAAAAATAAATATCAATATAAAAATTATTCAAGCCCCGCACCCCCAATTTTGTCACTTAATCACGAGTTTATCTAACAGTTGGTGAATGAAAAAAAAAAAACCGAAATTCGGGGAGGAAAAATGTTTAAAAAATGTTTTACCGTTCACGATCCCCCATGGGATTTAAATCCCCTTGGAGTCTGTTCCATTATTTAAAACCCCAAAAGAACATCTGGAAAGGCATCTACCTTCAATTCCGATTCGTCTCGGACGTCGAGCCCCTGAGGACAGGGAAAGCGTGTGTTGACCCAGCCCGATGGGTTCAGGGGTAGTTTTTTTTATTATAATTAATAGATATGACTTACTCGAAGGGTGTGTAATTGGGCGTGGTATGAAGCTAATTATACCCCGGGTTTCCTGGTTGTTTTATTTCTCGAGGCGATGAAAATCCTCTCGAAAGAAATTCTTCATTCCTGCATTCTCACAATTCCAAAATTTTAACAATGATAAATTTAATAATAATAATGTTGGGACTGGGGATGAAATTTTAAATTTTTTCATAGGAGATTTTATCAGCTGCGAAGAGATCTTGTGAATTTATCTCAGAAAATTTTAATCAGTTTGGAGGTAATGATTAATAAAAATGAAAGGAAAGCGGTGGACGATTTTTAAAAAATGGAGTTGAATGAGATATTTCGGATATTTTATCGGAATACCTTGGGGTTGATTGAGGTGTTTGGTATTTTTTTTTTTTTGTGATGAACGAGCACGTGGACGTCACGGTCGGCGTTTCCTGCACGCCGACACACCCCCATCGATCCTTCAAACACCTTCATTCATGAGCCAGGGAGAGGGGGGCACCCTGGGCTTTTGGTGCACTTCTCGTCCATTATTTTTGCCTGAAAAATGAACAAATTTGGGTTACAAATCAAAATGGAAAATGTTCTCGCACTTTTTAAAATGCAATAAAAATTTAAATTCCCCGCGGTTGTTTTTTGCAGCTGTTAATTAGATGACGTCCGTGACTTTTGGAGAAAAAGTCAACCATTACTCGGTTATTCGTACTCGTAGCCATGACGATCATGCACTACTGATAAAACAACACACCGTAATCCGTTTCAATCCCCAAAAATCAAGGAAATTATTCCCTC